GGCTTCTATCAGGCCCGCAGTGGAACTGGCTGTCTTCTGCTTCTTCTTCCAGTTCTTCTTCTGCTGCTGCATCATCGTAGGTTTGCAGTTTAATGCAATACACGCGTGAACAGCATACTCAAGATTGCAACAGCACAGACATTTTGAGGCAATAATTCATAGCAAGAGGTGTCAGTTATCAGACACTGTTAAATAAACAAAATATTGCAAGAGTGCTCATGTTTTAAGCATGTTTTTATTTTAACTTTAAAAATACCCTTTGTGTTTGTGTCCTTTATAAAGTTTACATCTCCGCTACCTGGTATCACATGTTATGACACACACGGCACGGCCCAACAAGGTCTCATTTATGTCAGATCTGGCCCTCATAACAAATGACAGCCCTGTTCTAGACATTTTCTGTTCAGAATGAAGGACATATTAGATGAAAAAATGGGAGGAAGAAGAGTCGTAAACCATGTGTCAGTACCCTCCGGTTGGATTCAAACCTTGTTCTGCATCTTCAGACCAACATGGTCGGTGACCCCACCTGAGTCTAGCCCCCTGTGGTCTGAGGGTAAAATGGAGGAAGGGAGATTCATGTGTCGTCCCCCCCACCCCACCCCCGGCTTTACATTTTTAGAAAAGTTTTCTTTCTGGCCTTTAAAACAGTATCTGTGGCCCATGTTAGGAAAAATGTAGACATCCTCGTCAAAGCCCAGCTGCGACCCAACAGTTTTGTGAATTGCAAAAATGCAAACCCATCAAGCTAGTCAGAGTAGCCACAGTTGCTAGAAGTGTTGTGCAATGCAGAACGTTGTTAGTTTTCCTGTGTTCTTTGCCCTGGGGGAATAAGCCAGGAATAAATCTCTTGGAAGGACAGCAAAAACAGCAGTTGTGCTGATAATTTATCAGACAGACAAATGTTTGTTCTGTGTTTATCTGTATCCGTTTGTATTTATGATGTTAAGATCTGCATTAAATATGCATATTGATTTATAAGAGTTTGGCGCAGTCCTGGGAGTTGAAAATGAACAAGAATTTCATTTAGAATTTGATTGGCACTGAGAAGAAAAGCAGCATTTCCAGTAGATCGAGTGGAAGTCTGCAGAGGCACTTGAATCCTGGGGCGTGTTCCACAGTTAGTGTGTCTCACTCTGGCATCGCCTTGGAGCGGACTTAGTCCTCCGGATGGGCTCTGTTTCTCTTCTGTCTCTAAGTAACGTGTCATAACACAGAATGCCGGAGGGTAGGCCTGCACCAGCTGTTTTCCCCGGGACCTTTCTCTGGAGCAGCTGGCCACAGCCTCCTGGGTATCCTCGGCCTGCAGTGCTCCATTCGGTGATTTGCAGGACAGTCCTGAGAATGGCCTTCCTGAGAGTAAAAGGCCTGCTGAATCAGCCAGAGGAGAAGAAGAGATTGGATTTATACCCTGCAGCCCTTCACTTGGAGTCTCAGAGCGACTTACAAACTCCTTTCCCTTCCCCTCCCCACAACAGACACCCTATGGGATGGGTGGGGCTGAGAGAACTCTGACACAAACTGCTCTTTTTCAAGGACAGCTCTTATCAGAACTATGGCTTGCCCAAGGTCATCCAGCAGCTGCATGTGGAGGAGGAGTGGGGAATCAAACCCGGTTCTCTCCCAGATTAGAGTCCACACACTTTACCATGACACCAAGCTGGCTCTCTGATTCTGAGCAGAACCACTGAGGATTACTCTCGGGGGGGGGGGGGCGCAAACCAAAGCAGTTCTACTCAGAACTAAATCCTGGTTTATTCAATGGGGCTTACTCCTAGGAAGAAGTGTTTTTAAGGACTGCAGCCTTGGTTGTGGGAAGGTGAGCCCCTCTTTTGAGAAATTTTGCACTAGCTAGAATTTCCAGATTAACCTCAAGGGCAAGCCCACGTAAAGCGAGTTACAGTAGTCAAGCCAGGAAGTGACCATTGGGTGGGTCACCGCAGCCAGGTTCTGGGGGGAGAGGTAGGGGACCCGTTGCCTGATCTGCCAAAGATGATAAAAGGCAGAGCTGGCAACAGCGGTGGCCAGGGCCTCCACAGAAAGTGAGGCAGATTACAGTGTTTGTGGGGCGGGGGGAGTCCCTGTCTAGGGGCTGAATGTCTGTCCCTCTTGATGGGATCCAGTGAAGCTGATGGGCAGCAGGTTCAGGATGAAAGGAAGGAAATACTGCTTTACACAGAGAGACTGATGAAAATGTGGAACTCACTGCCACATTCAGAGGCACTGAACCTCTGAACCCCAGAGCCAGGAGGCAACTTCAGGGGAAGCCCTTGGCCTCCATGCCCTGTTGCTGGCCCTCCAGAGGAACTGGTTGGCCTCTGGGTGAGACAGGAGGCTGGACCGGATGGACCACAGGTCTGATCCAGCAGGGGTCTTCTGATGTTCTTATTGTAGGTAGCCCATGTTAGGGTTTGTGAAGACGCATTTCTCTGTAAGGACTGGAGTTAAATCAGCATGTAAGAGTTTCTTCTATAAAGAAGAGAGAAAATGTCTTCTCTAACTGCCCTTTGAAAGACATCCAGCCGGTTTAATAGGAAACAGTTTCTTCTTTATTAAGCAAAATGTTTGTGCAGATCTTTGTTCCTTGTAGAAAGATTTAGTCTCTTAAAAAGTCATAACATATGCTAGCTACTCACAGGAAACCAAAGTGCTTGCAAAAAAAAAAAAAATTAAACACATTTACTTAAGAGCTGTATAAAAGTTACACCAATTAAGTGTAAGAGGTTCTTGCCACTCGAGAGAGGAAAGTTAACACAGTTCTACCGAAGTGCCTCTTGCCTTTTATCCACTGATCTTTGTTTGTTTGAATAAGTTTATCTCTATGAGTCTCTCCGGGCTTCTTCTAAGCCAGGCAAAGATTCCTCCTCCTATTGCTTGGATGAATCGTCTGAGGATGGGTTTGTTTGCGTGGTTAGAGCATGTAGGAAATGTTTTTGACCGAGCAGAATGATGATTCCACCCAGTCATGCTTCACCGTGGTGGGAGACATTTCCACTTTCCCTGGAGCAAATTCACTGGCTGAGGAGAGCTCTCTCCAGTTGCTTCAGGTGGGCAGAGCTTTCTCCAGTCCGTGGATTTCCGGCCTGGCACATTGACCTCTTCACAGGTAACTGCATCCCCCCCGCCCCGAGCATTTGGACCCAAAAGGCTCTCAGGCCCCAGTGTAAACCATGAGATCTTCAGATTCAGCAAAAGCTGGCCAGCCTGTGAGGGCATGACCTGGAAACCTCTCACACCCTTTGCGTAATCGTTCCTGTCCTTGAAACGTTGAGGAGTTGCCTGTAAAGAAGGAACTTGGAGGCCACTGAAGTCGTCCTCGACTGGAGCCCCAGCAGCACCTGGGAGACCAACAAGAATTCCAGGGTGCGGACTTCCGAGAGTCAGAGGTCCTTTCGTCATCAGATATCTGAAAATGCCCTGGACATCTTGCTGGACTCTAAGGTGCTGCTGGGGCTCCAGCTGAGCCGCCCTACTGTAGACCTGCCAAAGACAAGAAGGAGCCCTTCACGTGGAAGCAGAGCCACAAACAACACCCACCAAGGGAAGACCGTCCACACTTCTCAACTCTGTTCAAAACTATATATTATATTCATTGAAATACAAAGAAGGGTTAGTGGTCACAACCCAATAGCGTATATAGACATAGATCCAACAGATCGTTTATAACAATTAAACGTAGTTGAAACAAAGAAAGACCATATTCAAGACCAACAGGAGGAGGCTCTTCTGTAATTCCACACATGGACAGTGTCCATAGACCTCCACACGGAAAGTGACTGCAGCCCACTGTGCCCACTGTGGAAAGAATAACAGCCAAACACCTCTCCCAGGTATAAATCAAGTGTTTCAAGGATCTTCAACAGCGGCCTGCAAGACGGAACCCGATTTCCGAAATAGCATAGGCACAGCTCAAAAACTTCAATGGAATCCTAGGGTTCTCTCTATGTTTAATTGCCCTGAGCAATCTGTTGGATCTGTGTCTATACACTCTGTTGGGTGTTTGCCAGTGTCCCCTCTAAGCTGATTTAGTGTGAGCCGGCTCACAGTTTCTTAGCCTCCGGCTCACACCTTTTTGTCTCTGCTCAGGAAGGATGGGGCTCCAGAGCAAACTAACGTATGCAGGAGCCAGATCACTGGCTTACAACTTTAATGCCAATAGTAGCTCACAGAGTAGGATTTTTGCTCACAAGAAGACTCCACAGCTTAGAGGGAGCATTGGTTGTGACCCCAACCCTTCTTTGTATTTCAATGAATATAATATATAGTTCTGAACAGAGTTGAGAAGTGTGGACGGTCTTCCCTTGGTGGGTGTTGTTTGTGGCTCTACTTCTACTGTAGAGCAGCCTCTGGCTTCCCCCGAGGAACAGGAGAATGTGGAGGACAACCGGGCTGCGGTGTGTTCTCTCTCTGAGGAAACCACCGTTGGTCTGCGTTGTTACGACCTGGGCAGTGTTTTGCTTTGCCGTTCACTGGCAGGGTTCGGTCACGTGTTGTCCAGAAGGGTTTTCTCTTTAGTTAAAAAAGTGGTTCTTGTAGACTGACTCTTCTCTGGCATCTGAAACACAGCCCTGAGATTAAAGCGATAACCAGGGATTTCAGGAGCTACCAGACATCATCGATCAATGGGTGATACGTATGCCTATAAAACTTGGGAACAAGTCCCGGCTGTTTTAGAACGGAAGCCCTGCCCAGGACAACACAACGTGTGAGGAAGTTGAGTGTGAATAAAAGATGACTCTGACCCCTCAACGTGCCGCACGTTTGCCATTGTGGGTATCGCTTCCCAGTCACATCCGTACTGGAAACCACGGGCAGAGAAAGGAAGAGGGCTCATTGTGTCCCCTCTCGAGGTTCTGGGTTGTGGTGGGCGAAGGTCTTGCGTGCTCTCGCTCTCACTCGCTCCCCCTCTCTCTCCAGGAGGCAGCTGAACTTTTCAAAAGGTTGTGCGGTGGAGTGCTTGGAGCTGAAGTACCTGTCTTCTGAATTTATTTCTCTCCCAGGGCAGATATCAGTGGATGGATTTATGAACTACTTGAGTGGCGAGGAGAACGGAGTGGTTCCACCTGAGAAACTGGATCTGAACGAAGATATGACCCAGCCTCTGTCGCACTATTTGATCAATTCCTCACACAACACCTACCTCACAGGTATGGTACACGAACGAGCGAATCGGCTTGTGCGCTTAGGAGAGAATGTTGGTGCACAACCAATCAGAAGTCTTGCTGGGCAAAAGCCCCCCCCCCGGTCCCACCCACTTTCTAAGAACACTTGGGGGCAGTGTTCCCTCTAAGCTGAGTGAGTGTGAGCCAGCTCGCAGTTTTTTTAGCCTCCGGCTCACACACTTTTTGTCTTAGCTCAGGAAGGATGGGGCTCCAGAGCAAACTGATTCATGCAGCAGCCAAATTGTTCACTCGCAACTTTAATGCCAGGAGCTCACAAAGCAGAATTTATGCTCACAAGACTCCACAGCTTAGAGGGAGCATTGTCTGGCACCCGTGGGAGCCATGTTAGAGACCCCCGGTCTAAAGCTTAGTAATAGCATGGGAACCAAGTACAAAAGACTCCCTGGAGAATTAGAACTTTTATTTATTTGGTACGTTTTTACCGCACGGGTCTTCCGAGGAGTTCACCGTTCCTGTCTCGTACAACATTTTGGCCTCACAACCACTCTGAAAGGCAGGTCAGGCTGAGAGGCCGTGAGAGGCCAATGTCACCCGCTGGCCTTCATGAACCTGGATTTGTCCCCGTTCTCCTCTGGCACGTTAACCACTACAGGGCAGCGATCACCGGGAGGTGGCGGGTGGTCACCTGTGTGTCTGAGAGCACGCACACACACACACACACGGGGGGGGGGAGAAACTCCCCGCTCATTAAAAAAACAGCACACTAAGCTCTATTTTCCAGATGTTGACATTATTTTTTTTCTGCAGCTACTTGAAACACAAGTTCATTTCAGTGTTTGGGGGTGTGGGTGGAGTATCGGTCACTTTGACTTTAGCTTTCGGGGGACAAATGTGGAAGACCAGCAGCGGATTCAAGCATGTCGCTTAAAGTGGTGCCTACGGAAGGTGACATTGCCAATTGTATAAAATTACATTCTAAGGGTTGATTTCATGAGCAGCACCCCATCACTGCTAAATACCAACTACGTGCCGAAGACGGCAATGAGAAGGGATTGTTTTTAACTGAGATAATGCCAATGATTAGGCAGTGAGGTGGTTATTTTCTGTGTAGCATCAAAAATAGTAGTTAGAAAAAAAAACGATCACCCATTCTGTATATAATGACAGCAATTTTTCATCTGTCTCGTGGAACAAACAGGCTGAGACTGTCATGCAGCTAGATTAATCCAAGGTGAAGAGCTGCAGGAGAAAGAGCAATCGCCCAGGAGGGTCCATAAAACGATTTTTGTGCCTAGTTGCCGTGTGAATGATCCAACAGCCTTCACCAGCTTTGCTGAAAACCAAATGCCGCTTTTGCAAGTTATGGCTCTTTTTGTGATGGCCTCTTTTCTAACTGGTTACCTGATGGTTGCGTATTGTATAGTGCAAAGCAAGCATGACACATTTTCCTAATTTCGATCCACAGCTACGCTTTGAAATAAACTTCTTATTAGAGCCCCCTTTAAAAATCTGTATCTCAAACTACTGTCAAATGGGTACATGTCAGGTTTGTCTTCAACATAAGGGCTATTTTTTGGTGGGGAATATGCAGCAGTGTTCCCTCTAAGCTGAGTTAGTGTGAGCTGCAAGTAGATAAATAAGTACCGCTTCGGTGGGAAGGTAATAGCGTTCCGTGCGCCTCGGCGCCTAGTCATGCCGGCCACACGACCACGGAGAAGTCTCTGGACAGTGCTGGCTCTTCGGCTTGGAAACGGAGATGAGCACCGCATCCCTAGAGTTGGATTCGACTGGCTTTCGAGCAAGGGGAACCTTTACCTTTAACTCTGCTGAGGACTGCCTGTCACTCTATCTATCTGTCTTCCAAAACGAATGGCTTTTAAAATATATCCCACCTTTTGTCGTTCTCATGAATGGATTCTGGGCACAGCTGGGCCAGCACGGTTCTGTGGCTCACAGCTGAGCTGTTTTGCAGAGAACAAAGTCTGCGCCCAGTGGCACCTTCAGGAGCTAACAGAGTGGCGCTAAATGCGCCACTGTGCCACGCTGCTGCTGCTGCTGCTGCTGCTGCTGCTGCTTCAGACCAACTGGGCTGCCCACCTGCACCTGTGCTTGGCAAAGGAACGCAGCCAAGCAGGACCCATAAAACCAGGGGTGGATTGGAAAAGAAACACCCAGGGAATGGGTTGACTATGGCCTGGGCAAGCAGAATGAGGCTGGGTCTTCCCTCTGAGTAGACCTGTCTAAAGAGGGACGGGCAGGCCAAGGCACCCCTGGAAAGGCCCCACCCCGGCCACAGTCCAGCCTTCCTTGGGACAGTGAGCCTGATGAGGGCTCCCCGCTGGCCCCCGCTCTCTGGTTTTCACTTTCCCACACGTCATACTAATCAGCTTTGCTAGCAAAAGCCACAGGCGGCAAATCTGTGCAAGCTGATTTGAAAACGATTCCCAGGGGAAAACACTGGACTGAATCTGGTACGATCCCTGCAGGGATGAGCAGGCCGCCCCCTTCCCCCCCCCCCCGGGAGTCAGCGGAATGAACAAAAGGGAACTTGCAATGAGTAAATCTTCTTCCGGGTGGTCTGGGATAATGTCCCCCCCCCCTCGGCCCCAGTCCTATCCTTGGCTGAAAGAAGGGGACAGGATGGGAACCCAGCCAGCCTCCTCTCCTCTCTCAATTTTGCACCTTTCTACAAAGAATACGAAGGAACTTTGCCAATAAAAGCTCTGGGTGGGTTTACTCGAGGGTAATTCTCTAAAAAAAGATGGGAATGAGTCTAATGTGGTATCTGCAGTCCTTCCCGGGAGTAAGGTAAAGGTTTCCCTTGCCCAAAAGCCAGTCGAATCCGACTCTAGGGATGCGGTGCTCATCTCCGTTTCAAAGCCAAAGAGCCAGCGCTGTCCGGGCGCTGTCCGAAGACGTTTCCGTGGTCATGTGGCCGGCATGACTAAACACAAAGGTGCACGGAACGCTGTTACCTTCCCACCGAAGTGCAATTTCTTGCTTTTGAACTGCTAGGTTGGCAGGAGCTGGAACTAGAGACGGGAGCTCATCCGTCATGCGGCACACTCGGGTCTCGAACTGCTGAACTACCGACCTTCCACAGCCTGCAGTTCAGTGTCTTAACCACTTGATCCACCACAGCCTGGGAGGAAGCTCAGTGAATAAACTGGGACCTGCCTCTTTTTCATGTGCGGGAAGCCAGTCGGCACCGTCTCCTCCACCACTTTCAGGGTCCCCTCCTGTTGGAGTAGTTTCCTGTAAGGCATATAGAAAGGATGGGGCTGGATGGGCCTTTTCCTGTGACTCAAATGGAAGCCAGCTCATGACGTCCTTCGTGGAAAAGGCGTTTTGCGTTTCATGGGGACGACATGAGAGAAATCCGTTTGGAGAAGAGGTGGATTTGGCTCTGAATGTGGAATAGGTGCTCTCTAGGACGGAGGCCACTTGTGCCTCTGTCCTGCCTCTTGAGTTCAGGGGGGGGGGGAAAGGCACCGGAGGGATAGCATGAGGGACCTCTGCAACATTACGTGTGCACAATGTGGAGGAAGTGGACAGAGGGAATTTCTTCTGCCTTTCTGCCAGTGCTGGAGTTCCAGGGCACCCTGTGAAACCGATTGGAAGTAAATGTAAGCAAGATGCAAGGAAATACTATTTGGGTGCTTTCACACACACACACACACACACACGCACTAAATAACACACTTTCAATCCACTCTGGATTTTCCTGCGTGAAATGGCAAAATCTACTTGCAAATGGTCGCTGAAGTGGATTGAAACCGCATTACTTAGCGTGTGCAAAAGCACCCAAATAGTATTTCCTCTCATCCTGCTTAAATTTACTGTGGAACTCAACTGCCGCAAGATGGGTTTAGGTGGATTTTAAATTTGCCACGAAGATTGTGCGATAATTTGTCCACCCATTAAAGATAGCGGGATGTTTTTTCCGTTTGGTGCATGACTTGTTTCCTGTTCCTGCGTAAGACCGTGTAGCCACGGAGGTCAGTGTTCCCTCCGACTTGCAGTCAGTGGTGGCTTCAAGAAGACTTTGGTGGCTCCCTGCACGTGGATTGACACACCCAACTCTGCTCCTTGCTGTGGGCAGAAGCGGCTGACGGGGCTGGCCTGCCTGAAGCAGAGAGAGCGGCTGCTGCTCGGACGCGTGCCGTCACCCAAGACTTCTTGAAATCCCTGCAGGCATCCTGAAATTTCACTTTATGCAGGAGGACCTCAGCCTGCTGTGAAAGGGGGGGGGGGAGAGGCTGCAGTTATTTTAGGAGACTGCCTGATGCTCCTGGGGGGGGGAGGGGTCATTTCTGGAGCTGCGTCTAATTAACTGTCTCTTAACGTGGCAGCAGTTGTCTTGTACAACAGGAGTTGGTACCCCACAGAGCTTTCCCAAATGCCTGAAGCTAAACCCTCCCAATGAAAACGGAGTTGGTTTGTCTGAGGTGCCGGAACACCTTTCCTGCAGGGGGGGAGCACGGGGAGTGTGATGATGAGGAATCCTGCTGTCTCTGAAGGAGTGTGTGTCTGCGGCTTTTACGTCAGGCTGATGTCCTGGGAGTGAGCAGAACTCAGAGTTACAACAGTGAAGGCAGCTGCTGTTCCCCTGAATGTCTTGCGGGATCAGTTTGTGTTCTGAGAGGAGCCGGTGCCCCCCCTCCCCCCCCAAGAGAAGTCTGCCCGGGCTGGCGATGGGTCAGCACACCCACACGGAGGGGGCAAAGTTGCTTCTATGCAAAAACCTTGCGGGGGGTTTAATCTCTGTTCTAAATAAAGTGTCTGGCTTCCGTAATAATAGGAGAAAGGCATAAAAGAAAGTGTGGGGTCTTCTTTGGGAATCCCAGTCTTGTTGACCTCAAGGGAGGTGCCGCAGGGTTCAGTAGTACTTATCGCCGCTTAAATGTAGCTTGCAGCTTTTATTTTAAAAAGTAGAAGGCAGAGAAAGAGGATCCCAAAATTAACTGTAAAACCCAAGCCGTGATACAGCACTGCGTCCACAGGGTGGAGGCGAATCAAAAAAG